GACCACTGGTGGTTAGCAGCGGTGAGAGGGAGGGGCATGGGCAAAGCTTTGTTTGAGGGCAGAGCGGGCATGGAGCTTGTGCTAATAGTGATGCTGCTTGTTGGGAGGGGAAGCGACAAACCAACATGGCCACTGAGCGGCTCCAGACAAGGTCTCAATGTCCTCACCAAGTCTTCTGTCACCAATGTTCAACGTGTCCAATTTGTTCTTGAGATGTTCTCGAAATTCAGGTTCTCATCAAGATGAGGACAAGGCAGACCTTCCCTTGTGGAGGTCGGAGGTCGGAGATGAGTCTTTGTGAGAGTAGAAAGCCTCATGCCTCGCTCTTCTCAGGGGCTGATGGCTAGGCCTTGCCGTTAACAGCCCAATGGTAACCCACTCCGCCAAAAGGAAAGAGCTATTCGTGGCACCACCTTAAAAAGAACAAAAGCACCATCTGTATCATTTAATTGTGGACGTGAAAGTTGTCACAGGAATGGCTTGGTGTGTACATTTCCAGTACAATAAAAAAAGGTTTTTTTAAAAGTTATATATGAAAGGAACACAAGGAAGGGGGGAGGGAGGGAAAAAAGAGCTGACAGCAAGGGCTCAAGGAGAAAGAAAATGCTTTGAAAACGATGATGGTGACAATTGTGCTTGATACCATTGATGGGTGGATTGTTATCAGAGCTGTAAGAACTCCCAATACAAAACAAAGGGGGAGGGGGGGGGAGGAGTGGCATGGCCAAGTCAGGAAGCGGCGAATTTTGGAGTTCTTTCTATTGATGGTTGGATGAATGGTCTCCTCGTTGAAAACAGAGAGGTTTCTCCTCCTTGTTTTTTGTTTTGTTTTGGCTGAGATATTTAAAAATGACCTCTTTAAAAAAATAAAGAGAGAAAGAAAACCCTGGCCCGGTTGGGAGACAGTGGGGGTGGGGTGCCAAACCCCATTCTACACCCTCAGCAGTGTCTGCCCTTCCGGCTTGCATTCCCGGGCTCTTGGCACGCCCTGCCCTGGATTCTGACCTGGGAGCAGACTCACTCCCGTGGCAGACACGCCTTCTCTGGGCCCTGCCCTTTCCCCGCCTCCTCCTTGTAGATGCTGGTAGGGTTGGCAGCCAGACAAGGTTGTGAGTTCTGTGCTTGCTGTGTGCTGAGCGCGCTGAGAGCGTTTGGGATTTCCAGGTGCAGTGGCACTAATATGCACTCATTGGTTTGTGACTTCCCAAGGGTCCCCCCGCCACCCTGACCCCTCAGACCCTTCTAACCATTGAATGTCACCCCATCTCTCAGGGTCCTGGCTAATTAATTTCACTATTATTCCCCCCAACAGTTTCATAAACATATAATTCATATATCATACAATTTATTAGGTCGCTCGCATGATGAAGAGTTGTACAATCATCATCGTAATCAGCCTTAGAACATTTCCCTCATTCTTAGACGCTGTTATTAGCTCCTCATTTTCCCCCAGCCTTCCCCTGTCAGACCCCAAGGGACCATTGATCCAGTGACTGTCTCTATAGGTTTACCTAACCAGGATTTCATATACAGAACAACATTAAAAAACGAACAAAAACTCACAAGAATAACAAAGTAAAATGGATCTAAAAACCTCCATAATTCATTTCCCTTCTCTTGCCTCAGTTCCCAGCTGTAAATAGGGATACTATTACCAGGAGCCCTGGTAGTGTAGTGGATTATGTGTTGGGCTGCTAACTGCAAGGTCAACAGTTCAAAACCACCATCTGCTACTCAGGAGCAAGGCGAGGCTTTCTACTCCCATAAAGAGTTACAGTCTTGGAAACCCACAGGGACAGTTCTACCCTGTCTTATAGGGTCACTCTGAATGGGAATCGATTGGTGGCAGATCAAGATGTATTGCTAGCTATTGGAAGGCAAGCATTGGGAATAAGAAGGAACAGTGGTTGGAAGATATAGTCTTAGTGATAGAAACCAAGCTGAAGATCACATAATGGAATGTTGCAAGACCAACGACTTGTTCATAGCAAATAACTTTTTTCAGCCACACAAAAGGTGTTGACTTCTCCAGATGGCATGCACAGAAATAAAACTGATTACAACCGTGGGAAGAGATGATGGAGAAGCTCACTATCAGCAGCTAAAGCCAGGCCAGGCCCGACTGTGGAGCAGACCACCGATTGCTCACATGCAAGTTCAGGTGTAAGAAAATGAAAACAAGTCCACAGGAGCCAAGATGCGATCTTGAGTCGATCCCACCTGAATTTCGAGAACATCTCAAGAACAAATTGGACACGTTGAACGTTGATGACAGAAGACTTGATGAATACATCGAGGCCATCATTCACGAAGAAAGCAGAAGGTCATTAAAAAGACAGGAAAGAAGGAAGAGATCAAAGTGGATGTCAGAAGAGAGTCTGAAGCTTGCGCTCAGTTGCAGAGTAGCTACGGCAACTGGAAGAAAGGCTGAAGTAAGCAGCGGACCAGAAGATGTCAAAGGGCAGCTTGCAAAGGCAAAGGCAAAGATTATCCTTCAGTGTACAAGACCTAGAGGTAGAAAACCAAAATGAAAGAACACACTCGCGTATCTTAAATGGAAGAATTCCAGAAAATCCCAAGCCTTGAGTTGCAATTTGGAAATTCTGTGCGGGAAAATATTGAATGATGCAGGAAGCATCAAAAGGAAATGGAAATAATGCACAGTCACTCACGGCCAGAAAGAAATGGCCAGCTCGCCACCATTTCAGGAGGTGGCCTACGAGCTAGAACCAGTGGTGCTGAAGCGAGTCCAAACTGCACTGAACGCATCAGCCCCAAACCAGGCTCCAGGAATCGATACAATCCCAATGGAAGTGGTTCAGCATGTTAAGGAAGCATGGGAAGCACGTACTCATCTCTGCCAGGAAATTGGGAAGACCTTGACCAACTGACTGGAAGAGATTCGTCTATGTACCCATTCCAAAGAAACGGGGGTCCAAGGGACTGCGCAAATCACAGAACAGTACCATGGACAGCGTGTGCAGTAGCATTGTGATGACGATCATCTAACTGCAGGAGTGCACTGACAGGGAGCTGCCAGAGGTGCAGGCTGGACTCAGAAGAGGACGTGGACCGAGGGATATCATTTGCTGAAGTCAGATAGTTCTTGGCTGAAAGCAGAGAATGCCAGAAACCTGCTTACTTGTGTTTTATTGACTATGCTAAGGCATTTGACTGTGTGGTTCATAACAAGCTATGCATAACCTTGAGGAGAATGGGAATTCCTGAACACTTCATTGTGCTCTTGCGGAACCTGTATGTGGATCAAGAGGCAATTGTGCAAACAGAACAAGGGAATACTGCATGGTTTAAAATCAGGAAAGGCGTGTGTCAGGGTTGCATCTTCTCACCATACTCGTTCAACTGTATGCTGAGCAACTAATCAGAGAAGGTGAACTGTATGAAGAAGAATGTGGCGCCAGGCTTGGGGGAAGCTTATTCACCACCTGCGATATGCGGATGACACGACCTTGCTCGCTGAAAGCGAGGAAGACTTGAAGCGCTTGCTGATGAAGATCAAAGATTGCAGCCTTCAGCATGGATTATGACTCAGTGTAAAGAAAACCCAAATCCTCACAATTGGACAAATAGACAACATCATGATAAATGAAGAAGCGGTTGACGTTGTCAAGAATTTTGTCTTGCTGGGATCCACAATCGATGCTCATGGAATCAGCAGTCCAGAGATCAAAAGATGTCTTGCATTCAGTGAATCTGCTGCACCGGACCTCTTTAGAATCCTGCACAGCAAAGATATTACTTGGAGGGTTAACATGTGCCTGAGCCAAGCCACGGCGGCGTCTTCAACTGCCTCCTATGCATGTGAAAGGTGGACATTGAATAAGGAAGACTGCAGAATTGATTCATTCGGATTGTGATACCGGCCAAGAATATAAAAAATACTGTAGATTGCAAAAAAAAAAAAAAAAAAAGGACAAACCAATCTGTCCTGGAAGAGTGCTCCTTATCTAGGACAGGATGGCAAATCTTCATGTTACATCCTGGGGACCTACTGTCAGGGACTCCAGTCCCCGGAGAAGGACATCATGTTTGGTAAAGTGGAAGGGCAGCAAATAAGAGGAAGGCTCTCAATGCCACAAATTGATACAGTGGCTGCAACCATGGGCTGGGGCCTAGGAACGATCGTGAGGGTGACGCAGGACTGGGCGACGTCTCCTTCTGTTGTGCATAGGGTCGCGATGGGTTGGAACCAACTTGATGGCACCTAACAACAACAACAACAATATCCATTGAGGTTGTGGTATGATTAGGTGCCTACAATTCAGATGGCTGTGCAGAACAGAATGGCTGCCCCGTCCAGCTCCACCCTCCCGATTGCTAAGCTTCGGTCCATCGCTGCAGTCACTGTGTTGACCCATCTCCTGGAGGGGCTTTCTACTTTCCCGTGAGCCTCTCCTTGACCAAGCACGATGTCCTTTGCCCGGGATGGTCCTTTCTGATAACATTCCCAAATGGAATAAACGTGACAGGGTAACCAGTACACCCGACAGCGTCTATTGTTGCTCCCTGGGGGCAATTTAAACCTATGTCCCTGTGTACATGATTTAACACGGTGTGTGGGTGTGCCCAACTTGGCAGGTAGCCTCCTGCACCCTTAGATAAATTACCGGATATCCCTGTGCCTCCATTTCCGCGTCTGCAAAATGTGCCTTTCCACTTCCCAGGGTGAGTATGGAGATGGATTCCATCGCCCCATCCAAGGACCCTAGATCATGAATGCCTGACTTGCCTCCAGCCAGGGAGGCTTGGGCTAGGGGTGCGGCAACCTCACCAGGATGTAGGCTGTTCTAGGCAGGCCAGCTAGTCTTCCCAGGTGGCAGTCTTCCTGGGGCAGGGGGGCACCTGGGGAAGGAAGCTCGTGGGGTTACCTAGGATGCGACCTATATCTTCATCTGTAAAACGGGGATACCAAAGCACACACCCCTCCCATGGGGTCATGATACCCCACGGAGTTGATTCTGACTCACGGCGAGGACGCCATGCGCTACAGAATGGGAGCGGCAGGCCTTCTGCGTCTGCGCGACGAAAACCCATCTTCTCGCTCCTCCTCAGCACGTGGGTATTCCAAAGTGCCCCACAGAGTAGCACCGACCTCACGGTCACGCTTAGAAAGATGACGTTCATTAACTTACAGCACTTCGAACGGCTTTGGGCGGGGCGCGCAAAAATCGCCCCCCGTGGTGATGGTTATTGAGACTCTGGGGCTGCGGCCCTGCTTCCCTGAGCCGGGTGTGGGATGCACTCTTGGGCAAGAAGCTGCCTTGGGCATCTGGCCCTACTGGTTCCTCTGCCACCCACTTCCTCCGCACCCGACCTCCTACGGCGCCATCTCCCCAGCCCTCGCTCCAAACTCTTCATGACCTCCAATGGTGGCGCCTTCATGCCCATTCCAGGAGAGCCGCCTGGCTACCAGCAAACACAGGTGGGGCCCCGGCCCCTGCTTCCTCTCTCGCTGGGGTCCTGCACTCTGTGGTTCTGAGCGCCCCTCTGGTTCCATGCTCTCCCACTTTGGTTCCCAGGCCAAGAAATGCCAGGAGCCGGAGGGGTTGATGGGGGTGGGGGGACACAGAAGAACTCAAGTCTCCTCCCACCCCACTTCCCACCCTAGCGCTCCTGCTGAGAGCCTGAGGGGCAAGGGAAGGGGGGGGGGTCTCCATTAATTAGCCTCTTATTCTTGCCATGCCGGATGGAACTTTACGAGGTGGACAGACCTCATTAGAGAGCACCCAGCCCTGACGTTAGTCATCCCTCCCTCCCTCCTTGGGGCCTCGCTGGGGTCCTCAGCTGGCCTTTGGGGAATGAGGACAGAAAGCCTGGGAGAGGAAGGCAGACTAAACCCTCTGTTACCCAGTTGATGCCAACTCATAGCCACCTTTTAGGGCAGAGTGGAACCCCCTGCGGGTTTCTGAGACTTAACTCTTCACGGGAGCAGAAAGCCTCATCTTTCTCCCTAAGAGCTGAAGGTGGTTTTGAACAGCTGGCCTTGCGGTTAGCAAGCAGCCCACCGAGTAACCAATATGCCACCA